TTTTTTGGTATTTAGAAGGGTCTACAGGGTCTCAGTAATAGATGGGACTCTTAGTGATCTGCCTGTTTACAGCCTCCCAAAAGCTGGGATTGCAGGCAAACGCCACCATGCCCAATCTGAATTGCTATTTCAGTGTGCCTCAGGGGCGGGGCCAGCACAGCAGGCCCTGGGATTGAAGCTCCGGCCCCTGCGCCTGCTTGCAGGTGCTTTAATCTGCTCAGCTATTTGGCTGGCCCTTTACTTCTAAAACTATAATCCAGACACATATACAAAAGTTATTTGAAATAGCAAAATATTGGAAATAACCTAAATGGATTTTTATTTTGCTTTTTTCATGGGTTTATTTTCTTTTAGTCTGCCTCAACCACTGAGCTACATCTCTAGGCCTTAAATGTTAGTTAACATGGGCCCAGTTCAAAAACAGTGCAGTCATACAATACATAATTTGCAGTCATAAAAAGTATACGAAAATTATATGTATACTAATGTAGAATGCTCATTGTTATCTATTGTTAAATGAAAATAACATAAATTAGTTATTTATAACTAACATAAATTAGTTAAAATAACATAAATTAGTTAGGGCACAGCCCTAACTAGTATGTGTTACATGCTATCATTCGTGTAAAAAATTGTGGCATTAGTAATATACGTTTGTAATTATGTATACATACATAAAATGTAACAGAAACTGAAAAATGTAACAGAAACTGGTGTGAGCAATTAAGTGATTGCTATCAGGAAGAAAACTAGATGGCAGTTCTGGGCATGGTGGAGTATGCCCATAATCTTGGTATTGGAAGGTTGAGGCAGGAAGATTGCCTTAAGTTTGAGGCCATCCTGAGCTACATAGTGAGTTCCAGGCTAGCCTGAACCACATATAGAGATCCTGTCTCAAAATAAACAATAAAGAAAGAAAGAATGAAAAGTCTGGAAACAAGTTGGAGGGAGACTTCATAGTGTGCAGCCTTTTGGTATCTTGATATTTTAAATTCTGAGACTATATTATCTATTCTGAAAGTAAATAAAAATGTAAAAAGTACATTTATATTTACTTGACAAATAAAAATAATTTTATGAAGAATACCTTTACTACAAAAAAAAAGAATACCTTTACTACAGTACCTCATTTTATGAGATTCTGTTTCCATCTTTTATTCTTATTGATTATTCATTATAAGGTTGGGTAAAGGAAGGCATAATGGTCCATGCCTATAATCCCAGCATATAGGCAGTGCTAGGATTTGTGTCTGGATGTTCCCCCAAAGCCTCATATGGTCACAGAGCTTTTTCAGAGGTGGTTGAATCTAGGTGTGTGATACTGAGGTTAAGGGTGTGTGATTACTAAATTAGTCCATGGACTAATTTGGCACCACCCTAATCCCAGCAGTTTGGATAAGATAAAAGGGGCAAAAAAGATACTGTTGAAGTCCCTTGTTAGGGCCGGCCAAATAGCTTAGCGGATTAAAGCGCCTGCTTGGGCAGATGCAGGAGGCAGGGGCTAGGAGATCAATCTCTTGGCCTGCCATGCCAGCCCCACCCCCGGGGCACTGTGAGATGGTGATTGAGGCTGGGCACAGTGGCACGCACCTGTAATCCCAGCACTTGGGAGGCTATAAACAGAAAGATCACTATGAGTCCGATCTACACAGTAAAACCCTGTACACCCTGTGCAGCCTGTCCTAAATAAAAAAATAAAAAATAAAAAAAAAAGAATCCCTTGTTATTGCTATATTCTGGTACCATGAACTGTTGGCCCTCTGCCATATGCCACCCTGCCTTGGAGCCAGCCAACTATAGACTGCAACCCCTACAAACAATGACCTAAGTAAACCTTTCCTCTTTTAACTCTGGATTTCAGGTATTTTGTCTAAGCAACAAAAGAAACATATAAAAAAGAATGTGGTACCAGAAGTGGGGCTGTTGCTGTGACTGTACCTGAACATGTGGTTTAGCAGCTTTTGGGAATAGCTTGTGGGAAGAGTTTGGAAAATTCTGAGATGCAAGCTGAAAAAGTAGAGTTGGAATACTTGGGAGATTCTGGTCAGAGCTCAGGAGACCAGAAGGCTGATAGAAATCCTGCCAATAAAGACAAGATTCAGAAAGTTTCTACTGGGAAGAACTACATTGGTTGTTGGACTGCAGCTGATGTGCGTTATGGCTTAGCAGAAAGTTTGTCCTCATTTTGCTTGTGAGCAGAGACTCTACCTAACACTGAAATTAATGGAGATGGACTAATTAATCTGGCAGAAGAAATTTCAAGTCAGTCTAATGGCTACTTTTGTTAGCTTTTAGCCAGATTTATGTTGAGATTCTGTCCCTCCTACACACAAAAAAATTGAGATTCCTCAGAACTGGACCAGGGAGATAGCTCAGAGGCATAAACACCTGCCTCACGAGTATAAGGTCCTGAGTTCGATCCCCAGTATCACAAAAAATAAATAAATAAACAAAGGAAGCTCTGCTCCTTTTGATACATATAGAAACTCAACTTTGTCATGAA